ATTCGATTTTATTGTAGAGATGAGGTCTCACCTGCCCAGGTGGGTCTCGAACCCGCAGGCTCAGGCAATCCACTCACCTCAGCCTCCCAAAGGCGCGGGATTACAGGCTGAGCCACCGAGCCCAGCTAGAACTGGTAATTTTTAAAGCAGCATATATAGCATATAAAACGCAGGACCATTAATGTGCACTTCAAACATGGACAGAGAGCTGTTTTAATATATTATAGCCTTTTATTTAACATCCTGCTAGACACTGTTCCTGCCGCCAACACTGGAAAATTAAAGTTAGTTTTACACTTAGGTGGTTGTATTTCATGAACTCCAAGTTGCCTTCTATAAAATAATTCAGAAATACACTGAAAAATGGATTATTCTAACATGCACATATACAAATATATACACAGAGCAACAATAGTATGGCCAAGTCAGCTGAATGTAAACAGTTGGTTAACTTGGGCCAAGAATGTTTGAGAATTTCTTCTACTTCTCTATAAAAGCTTGATGCCTCAAAAGAAAAGTTATAATAGGATTAGGTGAAGTCAAATCTGAATAAATGTTAACTGGAAGGCATAACATTGTGTTTGAAGCTATCTTAGAAAACTACTGACACAAGTGAGCATCACAGTGCAACCATTTTTCTTCTTTGTTATTGTCAATAATAAACTATTACTGCCGGGCTCGGTGGCTCAGCCTGTAATCCCGCGCCTTTGGGAGGCTGAGGTGAGTGGATTGCCTGAGCCCGCGGGTTCGAGACCCGCCTGGGCAGCGAGACCTCATCTCTACAATAAATCAAAAATCAGCCGGGCGTGGTAGCGCATGCCTGTAATCCCGGCTACTCGGAAGGCTGAGGCGGAAGGATCGCCGGAGCCCAGCAGGTCGAGGCTGCGGTGGCCGGAAGCGGCCACTGCACTCCAGTCTGGGCGACAGAGTGAGACTCCAACTCAAAAAAAAAAAAATAAATAAAAAAATAAACTATTACTTACTGAAAAGATATGCATTACATAAACCGTTTTAAATTTACCTAGATTCTACGTTACTAGTAAGCACACATTTTTTTTTCAAGGAAATGGAAAATCTGGACCCAAGACAAGGAAATTTAATGGATGTGGTGCAGGCCAGGCAAGGTGGATCACTCCTATAATCACAGCATTTTGGGAGTCCAAGGCAGGAGGAATGGTCCAGGAGGAATGCTCAAGACCAGGAGTTTGAGAATAGCTTAGGCAACATAGTACGCCCTGATCTCTATTGAAAAAGAAAAAAGGCCAGGCTCGGTGGCTCAGTCTGTAATCCCGTGCTTTGGGAGACCAAGGTAAGTAGATTGCTTGAGCACGCGGGTTCGAGACCTGCCTGGGCAACTTGGCGGGACCTCATCTCTACAACAGTAATTCAAAAATTAGCCGGGCGTGGTAGCACATGCCTGTAGTTCCAGCTACTTGGAAAGCTGAGGCAGAAGGATTGCCAGAGCCCAGCAGGCGAGGCCACGACAGAGTGAGACACCAACTCAAAAAAAAGAAAAGAGCCGGGCTCGGTGGCTCAGCCTGTAATCCCGCGCCTTTGGGAGGCTGAGGTTGAGTGGATTGCCTGAGCAAGCGGGTTCAAGACCCGCCTGGGCAGTGAGACCTCATCTCTACAATAAATCAAAAAATCAGCCAGGTGTGGTAGCGCATGCCTGTAATTCCGGCTACTCAGAAGGCTGAGGCGGAAGATTCGCCAGAGCCCAGCAGGTCGAGGCTGCGGTGGCCGGGAGCGGCCACTGCACTCCAGTCTGGGCGACAGAGTGAGACTCCAACTAAAAAAAAAAAAAAAGAAAAGAAAAGAAAAGAATTTGTATGGGTGTGGTGACTCATGCCTGTAATCCCAACACTTTGGGAGGCAGAGGCAAGGATTGCCTGAGTCCAGGGGTTCAACACGAGCCTGGGCAACATGAAAAGACCACATCTCTACATAAATAAAAAAATTAGCTGGACAAGATGGCACATGCCTATAGTTCCAGCTACTTATAAGGCTGAAGCAGAAGGATCGCCTGAACCCAGCAGGTCGAGGCTGCAGCGGCTGTGAGCTTGCTACTACACTCCAGCCTGGGCGACAGAGTGAGACTCCGGCTCAAAAAAAGGGAAAAAAAAAAAAAAACAGTTAGCCAAACATGGGGGCACAGCCCCAGCTACTCAAGAGGTTGATGTGGAAAGATCACCGGAGCCCATGAGGTAAAGGATGCGCTAAGTTGTGACTGTGCCACTGTATTCCAGTCTGGGCAACAGAGTGAGACCCTGACTCACCAAAAAAAAAAAAACAACCCACAAAAAACCACAAAAACCAAAAAGACATAAATGCATGCAGGGGAAAAGAAAAACAATCCAGGACATAAAACTACCCAACAGGCCGGGCTCAGTCTGTAATCCCAGCACTTTGGGAGCCCGTGGGTTCGAGACCCACCCAGGCAACTTGGGGAGATCTCATCTCTACAACAAATCAAAAATGAGCAGGGCATGGTAGTGCGCACCTGTAGTTTCGGCTACTTGGAAAACTGAGGTGGAAGGATCTCCGGAGCCCAGAAGGTTGAGGTTGCAGTGGCCAGGAATGTGCCAAGGCACTGCACTCTGGGTGACAAAGTGACACTCCAACTCAAAAAAACAAAACTACCCAAAAGTATAGCCTATTACACCAAGGTGGAGGGTAAAAAACTGACCAGCGCAGGGAAAAGGTACATTTCAGCCAAGGAAACCACAAAATAAATACTGTACAACAAAGTATAATAGTGAGTACTGAAACTAATCACACACCAAAATTCGCTAAGCAACCAAAGTTTATATAAACAAGAGTGACTTAACTTAGCTACTCGGGACGCTGCAGCAGTAGGACTGCTTAAGCCCAGGAGTTTCAATGCAGCTCACCCAACATAGCAAAACCTCACCTTTTTTTTTTTTTGAGTTGGAGTCTCACTCTGTTGCCCAGGCTAGTGGGCAGTAGCACACCCATGGCCACCACAGCCTTTACCTGCTGGGCTCAGGTGATCCTTCTGCCTCAGCCTTCCAAGGACTGGAATCACAGGCATGTGCCACCACACCCAGCTAACTTTTTGATTTACTGTAGAGATGAGTTCTCACTAAGTTGCCCAGGTGAGTCTCAAACCCGTGGGCCCAGGCAAGCCTCTCACTTCAGTCTCCCAAAGTTCTAGGATTACAGGCATGAGCCATCGCACCCAGCTTAGACCTCATTTCCTTTTAAAAAAAAAAAAAGAAAAGACCGGGCTTAGTGGCTCAGTCTATAATCCCAGCACTTTGGGAGGCTGAGGCAAGTGAACTGTCTGAGCCCACATGTTCAAGGTCAACCCAGGCAATTTGGCAAGACCTCATCTCTACAATAAATCAAAAACTAGCAGGGCGTGGTAGCACACGCCTGTAGTTCTGGCTACTTGGAATGCTGAGGCAGAAGGATCACCGGAACCCAGCAGGTTGAGGCTGCGGTGGCCGGGAGCAGTCACTGCACTCCAGTCTGGGCGACAGAATGAGACGCCAACTAAAAAAAAAAAAAAATTAGCCAGGTACGGTAGCGCGCCTACAGTTTCAGTTACTCAGAAGGTTAAGGCGGAAGAACTGCCGGAGCCCAGCAGGTCGATGCTGGGGTGGCCATGACTATGCGCCTGGGCGAGGAAGTGAAACTCCAACTCCAAAAAAGAAAACAAAGACGAGCAAGGCAGCACTTGAAGTTAACTCTGTGCTCTGAAAGATCTACAGAGAGGTGAACAACTAAACCCCTTAAGCATTTTGGTTATACCCAGGACCCTCTAATTAGAAGAACTAATAAGGCTGAGGAAGCTTCAGGAGGGCAGGGAGAAGATATCCACACTTCACCTAGTAAATAGAGCTAATCTGAATGGAAAGTGGCCAGTATGCCCCACCTAAAGCTAAGGCCAGGAAAATGGTCCTGAAGAAACAAACATTTAGAGAACTGGTGACTGTTGGCTTGTTCAAAGAGCTGGCAAGGAGACAGGAGAGGAAGAAGACGTGCCCAGCCATGGAACACACACACCCAGTGCAGACTTGGCTCTCTACCCTCAAACACAGTCATAGGTGGTGATGCAAAGAGGGAGGAACGAACTGGGCTCGGTGGCTCAGCCTGTAATCCCAGCACTTTGGGAGGCCAAGGCAAGTAGACTGCCCAAGCCTGTGGGTTCAAGACCCACCCGGGCAACTTGGCAAGACCTCGTCTCCACAATAAATCAAAAATTAGTCAGGCATGGTAGCACACCTGTAGTCCCAGTTACTTGCAAGGCTGAGGCGGAAGGATCGCAGGAGCCCAGTAGGCTGAGGTTGAGGTGGCTTGGGAGCATGCCACTGCACTCCAGTCTGGCCAACAGACTGAGACTCCAACTCAAAA